GAACATGCTCAGCATGTTCGGCCGACCTGAAGCCACACAAAGCAAGCCGATGTACGGCTGAAATTAGCCGTACCAGCCTGAAGTGAATAGCCAAACAGTGTTCGGCTCACTTAACTTCAGATCGGTCATTCACTCGATGTGTTATATGGTAGCTGATGGACGAATCTTGTATGTTATTGGACTCTCTCTATAATATTGTATGCAACCTCTGATGGGTGAATCTTGTATGTTATTGGACTCTCTCTATAATATTGTATGCAACCTCTGATGGGTGAATCTTGTATGTTATTGGACTCTCTCTATAATATTGTATGCGACCGCTGATGGGCGAATCTTGTATGTTATTGGACTCTCTCTATAATATTGTATGCGACTGCTGATGGGTGAATCTTCTTGAATTGAAACGTGTTGGATAAAGATTGTTTGTTTGGAGGAGGCTGTGAGCTGGATCAATCCCTGGTTATCTGGGGGTGATTAGTGAGGTCTGCAGCAGATCTCACTAATCACACCCAGATAACCTGGGATCGATCCTCCTCACATGCATTATTTCTTTCTGTCAGAGCTCAGAACTGTCAGAGCTCCGGCCGAAGGAAGCCAGAGCTGACAGGAGCTGCTCCCGCAAGTCAGGTAGTTTTGAGCCTTGATGTATGGGATTGCTAATGGGTGAATGTTATTAAATGTGATGGGTGACTAGGACAAATCCTCCATTAAAAGGATTCCATAAATGGACAAATTCCATAAAATATTCCATAAAAGTATAAAAACCCAGCTTAATCCAGTTATGGATTTACTAAAAACATTAAATGTATTTTTACTTTTAAAGAAGAACTCTGGGGAAGATTATTATTAACCCTAACAGTGGGGCTACCCCTGCATTGCACGGGTTAAGTGTTCAATTGTGTCTAGGGTGGAAAATATAAAAAAGTTACACTCACCTGATCCTGAGTCAACTTGCTCTTCTTAGACTGGTCCCTGGAGCTTCTCTCACCCTTTGCTGCAGCAGTCTAAGGTACCTGAGACATCACATTCTATCTACAGTGAATAGAATATGAGGACGCTGAGGAACATTCAATTGCTGCAGCATAGGAGCAGACCGGCTGGGAGAGAGCTGTCACAGCTGTCCAGCTCCAAGAATCGGCTGAGTATAACTTTGTTGTTTTCCTCCCTAGACCAAAACGCGCAGTTAATGCTTGCTATGCAGGAGTATCCCCACTGCAAGGATTAATAATAATCCCCCCCCCAGAGTTCTTCTTTAATATAAGAGTTGTATGGAAATTTAATGTAAGAGCTGGAAAATATAGCAGCACTCACACCAAGAGGAGGAGGGCTCTACTCTGAACCAAATTGGCTCTGTTGCATTGTACAAGTACTCATCTGCAGCGTAGTTTGAAGAGAGGTCACCAAGCTTGCAAGACCTGACTGTGCTTCGTGGTAGGAAGGCAGGTTCACAGATACCTGTATGAATTTTAACTGTGTATTTAGCTGTTTGGAGTTCAGCCTTTTAAAAGAAAAATGTACTGTAGCTTATAAACATTCACTTATTGTCTTTAAATGTTACTAAGCAGGGATAATGATAAGTTAATGATTTTGCACATAAAACATTCCTGCACATACCTTTTTTTTTGTTTGCCATAGTTATTCCAAGCTCCCCATTAGCCTTGAACTTAGAGTACTCAATATGCAAAATACAACTTTCAGCTCTGGCTCATCCATGCATCCCCCAAAGCATCTCAAGTAAAGTGTAAAACAAACATATAGCAGTGGGACATGTCAGAGTTCCAGCTTCACAGAATGTTACAACTTGCACAGAGAATCCTTAGTTTGGGGGTCTTGGGGCATTTCGTGTAACATTTGCAACAACATATAGAAAGAATGGGGTTTTGTTGAGAGGTATAACACCAACACTTGATTCAATTGATATAAAAAATATTTATTTTACACATATACACCATAAAACCATGTATACATTACATTGAATACAACCTAAATCGAATAACATTTTAGGCAGAAATTAAAAAACAAATTGCATCCTAGCTCCAATTCATCTTGTTAGGCATTATATTCAGTAGGGAGTTCCATGTATCCAGTCCCTACGCGTTTCGCATATTGCTTCCTCAGGGGAACATGGATCTATCTAATAAGAAATGTATATGTATTTAATCTTAAATTAATTCATCTAAGTGATACAGTACAAAAATCTATTTTGAAGTCTACACACCAGAAAGAACTGTGCTCTTGGCGGCTCCGCCGGACAGAGGGACACCCATCACCATCGTCACCCCCACACCCAAACACCTCTCACTTACCACCCAATGGGATTCCCAGATGCATTTCGTGTAACACTAAGGAATCAAAAAAGGTGATCTGAAGTGAATGCTTTTAACTTCTTATGCTGGTTTTAAAGAATATTATTTTGACAGGTTTACTTTAAAGAGGCACTGCCACCTCTTACAAACAGGGCAAAGTAACAGTGTTTTTTTCCTCTAACATTACTGACACTTAAATCCCCAGTGTTGGCTGGTGCTGGATAAGGGAATCAGTGATGTCAGTCCCCCGGTCATGTGACAGTGCTCATCCTGAGTACTCAAATGGGAGGTCAAATGCTTCCCCATACCCAGAAGCATTGGGTATTTCACCCACTGAGCCAGCAGGAGGAGCAATGGTGGAGTGCTCCTCCTGCTGCCTCGTTGCGTCCTCTACCCAGTATGGCTTTGGATGCTAAGCTTCGAAGGGTACCTAGAGGAAGGATTAGGGGTATGCGTCCTATGCATTGTGGAACACTGGTCTAGTAGACTAACCAAACTTTGCTTTCTATGCCAGTGCTGCCTTTTAGTACTAGTCTGGAACTGAGATTGGATGTTTGCTATTGAGCCAATCACATGTAGCATTAATATGAACACATTATTTTTTAGGGGATTATTTTTTTATATCTTGATCATCGGCAAAGACGTGAATATTCTGGAACAATGGACTATCTTGAAAAGAAACTGTGCATGTTAATCTTCAGTGGAAACTGACCAAAAATGTTTTCTTTTTATTTTTACAGGATTTCCTCATTGAAAGTCTGCAAGAATGCTTTACCTCAAAGGATTATCCTGAGCTCAAGGTGGCAGTACCCAGTATATTCCCAGGCTAGCAGAAATCTTTAATTCACTGTTTAAAAATCTAGAGCATCACCTGTATTCATTTTCTGCAGCTGTGATGATCTTATTTCACTGCTGTGTGAAAGCAGCGTAGCCTATTGCACATTTCTCTGAGGCAATGACTACATCATACTAAGATACACTGCAAATTCTGAGCAATGCAATTGTTGCAAGTAATGCCTCCAATGCCTAAATTTAGTCTACTCAATCTAATTTTTCCAAAAATACAATTTTGATCAGGATCCAAAAATACAATTTATAAAGGAAATGAATATAAAAAGTTCACTTTACGCAAACAGTCCTGTTCTACCATTGCATTAAGTGTTATTGAAATGTTTCAAGGCAAGATTGTGCCACATTCATTGTGCATCAATGTAAAATAGAGGCCAAATTTGATGGACCTCATATTTGTGTTTATTAATTATTTAGTATTTGCATTAATTGTTGTAACATCATGCTCAAATCGAGCGCTTGATGTTTGCAATGACAGAATTCTGTGTATGAAGTATGCATCACGGCCAGTTCCCCACCATCATTTCATATTACATTGTTCTTCCCTCTTGTTTCATCTACTGTATGATGCAAAGCATACAAATTTATTCATGCTAAATGTTTTTCATTGTACACACATTCATAAAGGTGCTTGGTCTGTGCAACCTCCTTCCTCTAAGTGGTGTGATTCCAGTAGTATTCAGTGGAATTCTCTGGAGGCTCAGTTGCCAATGACACCAGTGTCAATGACGGTCAGTGTCCCCTATGATACCTACACAGATTGTTCCATGAATACAGGGGCAATGGAGGGAACATTTGAAAAAGCTAGGATATGGCTTGCAGTATTTTTCACATGTGTTTTGTGTATGCTGCATTAGGTTTTACTCTGCAGTGCCCAATGACCATGTAAGTGGCTTGTAAATTTATCATAGTGGACAATGACACCCTGCAGGTCAACCAGAAGGAACAGCACAGGACAAATGCCCTTGTGCCTAGTGATGGCAAATATTTTTGCATCCTTCAAAATTGCCTTCCTGATTTTAAAGACTTTGTAAATTCTGGTCTTTTCAACCAATATTTAAATAAAAGAAATGCACTTGCTGTAATAAATGTTGTTTTAAAAAAGAACAGGTGTATAGTGCCCCAAATCAACCAAACAGCAATTGCCTTATTTCAATTTCATGCAAAAGTATATACTGCATGCTACTTTTATCAGTATAAGATCTTTTCAATAGAGTCAATATTGTTTCCTATAGAACCACTTTTATTAAATAATATATAGGTTTCACCTGTAGTAAATGCTTTATTTGTTGATATATATTGCTGACCTTTTTCCCCTTGAGATGAAAAACAGACCAAATCTTAGATTCTTTTAAAATAGTACTAGTTTTTATAAGAATTCTTCTTCTCTGGGAGTGCTATGACATAACAACTGCCATCTTGTGTACTCTGATGAAATGAAAAAGGGAATAGCATTAACTCTAATTTTATTGAAACATCTTCATAGATACAAATGGCATATCATCCATAATAAATGCGGCTATTCAACTATAAAGAAAATCAAGCTCTGAATGGCAAGTTGCCAGTTTATAATATCAGTGCATCACTTTAATGTAAAGGTTTATTGATCATTTATGTCTATTCCCTTCTTCTTTCATAGATTGTGAATTCATATCAAATGCATTTGTTTTGCTTATTTCTCTTTTTAGTACAGAGCCTGTTATGAGGAATTTCTTCTTTCCTTGTATTATTGATTGCAGCATAATCCACATGTTAATATTGTGTTTGATAAAAGAACACACCCATGAATTCCTACAGTTGATTAAGTTAAAGAATAGGTGAACTTTTATTCTATTTGTAGAGTTTTGTTTTTTTTATACTTGTCTCTTATATTGTTTAAATTTGACCTTGCATGCAAAAATGGCATATTAATAATAATATAATATAAACTCAAGTTTGCAAATAAAAAAAATGTGTAAATGAATAGCTGTGTTATGTTCTGAACCAAAGAGCCTGGCCCTGTGTAATCCATTTTGCCCTTGTATTGAAAAAATTCCAAACCGATAAGACAGCCAATCGCTGAAAGTTTCTGGTAAACTGATCATATGATATGTGACATCAGTCTCATCTTCCCAGACAGCTATCAGACTTCAGACCCACAATACAATTAAAACATAGTCTACAAAAATTAAATGGACTAAAAGTGGTGCTGACCATGAGGTATAATTTAAAGATGTCTTTTTAATGTGAGCATAACACAAAGTCCTTTTAAAAGATCCTGCTTTCTATTTTAAATCTGGGTTTTATCTTAAAGGAGAACTATGGGGTCAGTGTTTTTCCCCATAGTTCTCCTTAGGGTAACGGGAGGACACAAGCTAGCGTCCTCCCGTTACCCTAAGCTCAGTATACCGCGAGCTACAGCTCGCGGTATACTGAGGCGCTGCAGCCGGAGCGGATCATGACTTAAATGACGGGATCCGCCCAGCTGCGTGAGTGACAGCTGGCTCTGCCTATCTAGAGGCAGAGCCAGCTGTACCCGCCCCCTCCCCCGTCCGTTCCGCCAGTCAGCGCTAGCAGATCGGAGCGGGGAGAGGGGAATCCAGCCCCTCCCCCTGTCACTGCAGAGAGCTGTGACAGGATCGAGAGGCGAGCGAACCCGGTATGTGTTTGCTCACCTCCCGATCTACTGAGCCGACCTGTGACAGTCTCATTGTCACAGGTCGGCTAGAACTATGAGGTGAGTGAAAAGCACTCACCTCATAGTTCTCCTTTAAATTTCCTCATTGCATTGCTTCTGACAGAATAATAATACATTGTTACCCATCTGCCACTAATGTATATAACTTGCTCATTTTGTTCTGCGTGATTCTTATAGGCAATATTGTTATATTACATTACATAATATGGATTCTACCATATGTAAATACTGCAATAGTAGCCATCCCTTGAAAATTCTCCTGACTGTTGATTTTCTGTTTACTATTGGAAAGAAACAAAATGCTTAATTCATATTTGTTTTATACAATGACCCTTTGTTGTAAAGTGGCTTTTGTATTTAAATACTGTGCACCATATATGTTTTGAAATATGGAAATTCTAATTTTATATTTCTCAAAACATTTATTTGGCTGATCACAAAAATAACAAACTGTTTCTCCAAACTCAGCTAATTCACTGACATTGATTGACAGGCATTTTCCATCTTCTCATCAGTAGTCAACATATTGAGGAACTTGTCCCTACAGCAAGGTCTCCTGTTCCTATAGTGATAACACATTTATTCACTTCTTCCATTCTTCTTTAATTAGAGTAAATTTTATTACCATATTCCTTTGATAAAATATCTTCAGCTTAAACTGGAAAGGATTCTCTTCACTGTTATTTGCTATTCCAACTCCATATGTCCTCCTCTTCCAGATGAGTGAAACAGAAATTAATGGGCAATATGAGTCGGTATGTGAGTCAGTGTTCAGTGAAGTTGATTCACATGCAATGGATGCTTTAGACCTTCCAGGATGTTTCCGAACAAGAAGCCACAGTTACTTGCGAGCGATACAGGCTGGCTATTCCCAGGATGATGACTGTGTTCCTGCTATGACATCTTCCAATGCCACCCCCATTACTAGGTCGACAACAGGTAAAGAATGGACTGGGTTAATTTTTTATTCAGTATTCATATTACTGTCTGTAACTTGATATGTACTACATTGTATCACCAAACCAAAACATTATGACAACATAGTCCCAACAGAGTTCAACAATAGAACACTGTATGACCAGCTTTAGTCTAGAACAGCCTTTCTCAACTAGGGTGTCTTCTGGCTTTGTCAGGGGTACCTTTCGATATCTGCCATGCATTTCTATGGTGCAGGCGAGCTGTCCATCAGCCCCATGGAAACGAAAGCTGCTACTCCAGGGTGGGCAGCATTCTAGACTGCCCCCAGCATTCTGAAGAGTTCAGTACAGAAGTCCGCCTACATCCAGACCCGTTCCACCTCCCACTCTCTGCCATGCACCTGCACTGTGGTGAAGATTATACGGTAAGACTCCACATCAGATTCCTCAGTACCACCTTAACATTGAAGGGGGCACCTGATGTGCAGGAAGGGACTCTGGTGGAAAGGCGGCTCCTGATGTGAAGGGAGGGACTGCAGCAGGAAGCAGGCTCCCTTCCACTCTGTTGTGAAGGTTTGAACTCTACATCTTTTTTTGTTTAAGGATCAAGGATAAGGGTCTGGTACAGATTTTGGGGGGAACTACATGTAATGTTTTACATTTACATTTAAGACAGGGGTGCCTTGAGATTTTTCATATTTTTAAAGGGTGCAGTGACTCAAAAAAGGTTGAAAAAAGCTGCTCTGGAACACCTGACTCCTATACCTACATAAGTTATATCAATTTGCATAATTTTTATTGTCAGGACACAGGACCTCTTTTGTTGTTTCCTGTGAAGGATGCTTAAACATATTTAATGTGCTCAATGAAAATAATTGTATATATTTAGGTAGTCAGGGCCATTCTTTAAAAGATGAAGTAGGGTAAAGCAAATGCTTTAGATGTAAGCAAAGGCGTAAATAGTTTTTCCAGTCAAATTGGAGAAAACCCCATTATATATGTGTTATATGTTCCTATTCACACTGCATTCCAAAAAATAATTTCAAAATTCCCATAGAAAGACTAGGGACACTCTGAACTTCCTCTCCTTACCATACAATGCTTCTAGATCTTTAATTATCTTAGTTAGGACAGACATTGTTCAAATCTAATTGAAAACTGATAATACAATCTAACAGTACAGTACTGACAGGGCTAATTATGCTAACATTAACATTACCTGCTTAGCCCCATTGCACTCCAGAGGAAAACTCAGTATAGAGAACAACTTTTGACAGAGCTAACATATTTCCAAGTAATGCTATGTAAATAAGAACATGTACCAAATATAAAATATGTGTTATCCCAATTTGGCTGCAAAAGTGGAAAATACACTTTAATACATATAGACATAAAGAACATTTTATTGCCACTTATGCAAACATGGACAATAAGCTCCATTGTGTTGCAATGATGTGAACTTACAATCGATAATTGTCACTTTGTGTCAGTGCTAAAAAAAAAATTGCCTTTCTTACCTGCTTCCCTTTCCCAGTCCCTACTTTGTGTAAGTACTAATTGAGTAGCCCCATAGCCACTATAAGAAACCATCTAGTAGTTGTGCACAAATCCCAGTTTCTATATGGCAGCCAGGAGTAGCCATTTTGGATATTTGCTGTTCAGTCTATACTACTATGTGCTATAAATAAAAGCCTCTAAAAACAACTTTATAGAATCTTCTTACTGATCCTCATGCAGCCGTCATCATCTGCCTTTTTTTGTCAGAAATTCAGCACTTGCTTTTGATAATTTTTTCTCTATATTATTCAGGATGGTCAATCATCCAGAAATGTACTGTTCTTTCTTATGTGTAAGCTCCTAAATAGTTTTGTTTTCAGCTTGTGGTTGCCAAACTTAAATGAGATTCCAAACATTCTATAATTCCTATTTATGGACTCCATCAAATATCCTCTTTGTTTATACATTTTTTAATGCTTCTTGTTCTTCACTGTCCTTAGTGTTTGTACTGAATTTCACATTTTACTCAAATTCTCTCACTATATCTACAGACTGATCTTTTCTAGCAGGCACTGCTTTGATTGACATGTTCTGTGATGTCCGAAAGCAGCCGCACAATTTAAGCAGCATGTTTATCAGATCCTGAGCATTAGATTTGTTCCTGACATCCCCCAAAGCAGCAGCATATCTAGTCTCATTGTAATTGGCTTTGCTTTCATGAAAAGCAAATGAAGAAAACACTGAGTGTAAAACAATAAGCATTGTTTAAATCAAATAAAATAAAAAATAAAAATGTTCCTTAATATAATCCAGTAGCCTTTCACTCTTAGCATATGGTGAAAAATACATAAGCCAAGGTTACCTTCAGTAAAATCTGTATGGCTGAGTGACCCAAAGATACAGATCTTAACTTTTCCACCATCCAAGCTTCCCTATTAGTCATATTAGTTAGTGAGGCTACTAATTGCACAATGTATTAGTAAATATGTAGTGGTACAGGAAGATAAAAAAAAGTGTGTCCTGGGGGGTGGATGTTCTGTCACTCCCTGTTACACGTGTGTGTTAGTGAAGATCTCTGGTGACATGAAGAACAGCTGTATAATGATATTACAGATAGAAACATGGAGTGATCTCACCAAGATCATGAGGCGCATCTGTGCATATGGAGTCCTGAGTATCCAGCTTCCAGTTCTGAGTCTCTCCACATGAACAATAGGTAGCATCCATAAGGTGGTACACACAGTCAGAATGTATAAAGCATCCAACTTAGTTTCAGCGAAGAGTCCAGAGCATACAAATTGTTATGCCAAAAAGTACCATCGGTTGACTCTGCACAGCCAACATACCACGTCAACTCTAACGTATTTCCTCCTCAAAAAGGGTTTCCTTAGAGAGCGTGATATAGAGGTCATAAAGAGGCTAGAGAGGTAGCAGGGCCAAGTTTGACTTTATAGCAAAAGTCCGGATTTTCATATAATTTCAGCTGCCTGCACCTCTAAATCTAGTACTCATTTGAACATGTACTTCTTACTAAAGATATCTTCTGTTTATGAATATTTTTTTATTATTATTTGTTTTCTCAAAACCAGTGGTGTACAATACACACTAGGGATGCACCGGTACCGATACTAGTATCAGTGCCGACACCGAGTATTTGGGTGAGTACTTGTACCCGCCCAAATACTCCAATACTTACCTTCGATACCGGAAACTTCCAGTCAGAGGGAGATCTCTCTGACTGGCAGTGCCGAGGGAGCATGGAGCCGGCTTCCTTTCCAATCAGGAAGCCGGAAGGGGGGGGTTATGACCCACCTTCCTGATTGGCTAGGAAGCCGGCTTCACTTGTTGCTAGGCAGTCTGGCTTCCTAACCAATCAGGAAGTCGGGCGGCACGTAATGACCCGCCTTCCGGCTTCCTGATTGGTCAGAAAGCCAGGCAAGCAACAAGTGAAGGTGGCTTCCTAACCAATCAGGAAGCAGGGAGGTGGGTTATGACATGCCGTCCAACTTCCTGATTGGCTAGGAAGCTGGCTTCACTTGTTGCTAGGCAGCCTGGCTTCCTGACCAATCAAGAAGCCGGATGGCACCTCATGACTCGCTGCCCAGCTTCCTGATTGGTCAGGAAGCCAGACAGCTTCGGCAAGTGAATCCGCTGTTCTATCGCTAGAACACCGGCTTCACAGGCAATCGGGAAGCCAGGCAAGGGGTCATGATTCGCCGCCTGACCACCTGATAATCGGGGGACATGGCACTGGTATCTGGTACTCGGTGAGTACTTTAAAAAAATATCGATACTCAATACCGAAAAAAAGATATTGGTGTATCCTTACTATACATTCGCTGTTCTATCGCTAGAACACCGGCTTCACAGGCAATCGGGAAGCCAGGCAAGGGGTCATGATTCGCCGCCTGACCACCTGATAATCGGGGGACATGGCACTGGTATCTGGTACTCGGTGAGTACTTTAAAAAAATATCGATACTCAATACCGAAAAAACGATATTGGTGTATCCTTACTATACAGATTACTTTGAACAAAGTTAACACACTATGGTGGAGTTTAAATAACAGTTTTCAGAACCTTACTCCCTAAAATATTAAAGGTTTGTAGAGAGGGAAATTCCTTACTTTAGAAAAGTATTCATCCTCAGTGACTAACAGCTGTCGCTTGGATAATTCATATGGTTACCCTGAGGTACCTTTTAACTTTTAAAACAAAACTTTAAAAAACAGGTGGTACTTACAAGTCATCACTTGTATTCAAAACGAAAAAACAAAAAATGTATTCCTCATTCCATGATAATGAAGAGAGGCAGGCAAAGTCTCCCTTCATGCCCCAGTGCCTAAATGTGCATCCTGAACTGCTGGTCTATAACAATGATTTACATTACCACATACTCCAAACAGAAAATACTTTTTCAGGTAGTATGCAAGTTATAAACCTGCAGCAGGTAATTATGAGAGGAATGGTTAGAATAGCAACCAGTTAAATGGAAGACCAAGAAATATTCATAACAAAGACAGCTAAAAGTGTTCAAGGATGGTTCAACATTTTATTTCCTTAATGGTCTTTAATATGTAGAAATAGGCTTTAAACCCTTGTTTAAAGTCTGTAAGGTACTTGTATATTTGCTAAATAACAGACTGCTAGTTCAGTTAAAAAAAGGAAAAAATAAAGTTCATTCAGTCTTTGTGCTACTGGAAATTGAATTACAGTTTAACTGAACTTTCATTTTAAATCAGCTAAATACATTCTTGGTGTATCAAAACAAAAGGCATGTAAAGTCTTACAGTGGGATCTATTCACAAAGCTGTCGAAGGATCTGGCCGTAGCTTCGGCCGATCCTTCGGCTGGCTTCGGCCCCAGGACCCCTTCGGTTCAGGAGAACCGAGGGGGTGCTGTACGGGCTATTCACAATAGCCCGTACAGCTCCCGATCACGGCCGAGCAGCTCAGTCGAGCGCTGTGCCGTGCTGAAAGCCGAAGCTGGCAGCTGACAGCTGGGCGGAGCCAGCCGTGATCTTA